AATTATGTAATTAAAAATTGCAATTACAATTAAGTTATAGAGAAAGTATTAGTAAGAAGAATTGCTTCCTGAAAGTGCGTCAAAACATTTTTTTCCATCACTATTTTACAAATTAACTGTTGACTACACCCTTAAAGGCATAAGTAAAAGATTAGAGAAAGGTGAAAGTTAATACATCGTGCAATTAATTATGATAAAAACACTTTAACGCTTACTTGTAATTGACACTCGTTACTTGGCTAATTTTAGATCGTGTAAACATAAATCAACTAAAATTGTATTGCCATAAACGTAAAGTTTCTCAAATTGGATTGAAATGAGTTTAATTTTGCTAAATGTACGAACAATAACCAAACTCCATTATCTAATGTAACCTCAAGCTTGAATTATTGTGTTTTATTGGCAATTACGTGGCAAAATTAGATTTAATCTCGTATCGAATGGATCTTAAACTGGAAAGTTTTATTGTGGAAATCGTAATAAAATTATTAATCGGCGTGTATAGGCTGGCCCCAAAGAGGCACCTCCGCTACAATTATTTTCTTCCACCAAAAATCGTCACAAAACACATGTGGTTTGTAATGTCGCGTATTAGAAAGAGAAAAAGTAATTCTAGTATTTTGATTGGAACAATTCGAGAGATTCCGCCATAACTGCGTTCTCAAAAACTAACTTTAAACTTCTTTCTTGCAACATTAAAGTTATATGGTGTGTAATTCATCGGCATTGTTTCAAGACAGATCAAGATAGAAGCAGCAACTCGCATCAATCATAAAGCCCCACATCCTCTATAATTAGTATTTTTTCGATGAAAAGTTTAGGGAATTGGTCAATGTAGGAAGGGTGTAATCCGGATAATGTGCCAGCTTCATAAATAACGGATTTAGAAGATGGTGGTGTAAATTAAGAGCTCGTTGGAATGGAACGTCGAGATAGGGATTGCTCTCTTTTACAACAAAGTTTCATGTAGTTGCTCGTAAGAGTTCGTCGAGTTATGGTCTTGCTTAAACAAGTGTTTAATTTACCTACCACGCATTTCCATCCACTCCGTCGACACGCCGTAATAAAACAATAAAGCCTTGTTTAACGCCGCATTATTAATACACTCGCTTTTAATTATCTCGGCCGCGAAACGAAAAGATGTAAACATTGTGTGTGAGCGCCAAACCAAACAAGGATCCGGTCGAAGATACAAAATTATAGATTACACGTATTCCCATGACTTTGTATATTCTTTTTTCAAGCTCAAAGTTATCGACCAGTTCATCTAATTTGAACAGAAACGTGACTTGAAAAAATTCGATGCGAAAGTGTGTAAGTCATGCTTTGCTTCAGCCTCCGCGCTGGAACGAAATTAAGATAAACCAAAGGAAATTAAAAAAATTTGCCTACAATAAAATAATTCTGCACCGTTCTTGGGCTTTCTTTATCAGTTACATTTATAGAAAGTTCGTTTGGGGCTGAATTATGCTTTCAGTTTTTATAACAGTTCAAAAGCTCTCAATGATTTTTGAAATTTTATAAATCGTGTGCTTATATCAGTGCTCCTTGCTCATTAGAGGTTGCTGTTTATTCCCTCCCATCGTGCTAACAATAGCTTTTGACACTTGATACGTTCGGAGAGTGCAGCTGAGACAGGCCTCCTTCACCGAAAATACGCGTTGGAGATTAACATTTCTCACGTGAGAGATCGACCACGTATACAAATTTCTCAAAGAGCTCAGTTAATAAATTGCGGCTTTTATGGACCATCCCGATTGGAATTACCGCGAGTGGAAACTCGCTTTAACTAAACATAATTTAAGTGTAGAAAGCAACGACCGTAAAAAAATTGCCGTAAAATTGTTTATGAGCATATAAACAACCCCTAAGAGATGGCGGTGTCATGAATTTTAAACGCATTGTCTGCGAAATGCTGATCAGAGCGGTTCTTTTGGAATTTCGACGGACGAAGAAGGATTATGGGGCCATCGAGGGAGTTCCCTTCTCATTTTGACAGACAACGAGATGGGGATCGAGGAAGATATAAGCATAATGGCTAGCACGAACAAATGCCAGCAAAAAATTCGAGAAGCTGCTTCTGATACTTGAGTTTAATGGCGAGCATTTAAAAAATGACTTGTTTTTATTCACTAAGATGAAGCAATTACCAAACAAAAAAGATGATTCATTTAGGACAATCACAAGGGTTTTGGACAATTTCAAATATGAAAAGCGAAGCTTTTACTCTGATTTATTGACGAACACTTTGATTGACAAACAGAAAATTAGAATTTGACAGATGGACGGATTAAATATCAGAATGATGAAACTGTACTTTCGCTCATCGTAATCTGAGATATTACACAATTTCAAATTTGGCTTTATCTCTAACGATCGATGCTACAATCTAGTGCCTTTGTAAAGAATATGAATAAGTTTACGGTTAGTTTTATTAGCTATTGAATAATTTACGCTTTGCTTACTTTCAGAAATGGAAAATCAAATGAATTTGCGTTTTATTAATAAGTTTTTATCAACACGAAACAATGCAATTTTTATCAAGCGTTTGCTCAATGCAGGTAATTTTTGCCATAAATAATGCATTCAAAGAAATCATTTACTTGATTGGATGTTTTCATGGTTTAGTTCGAGTAATGAGAAAATATTGATATATCAGTAACTACTAATCAGTGTAATCAGCAATTTTAAACTTTCATGATTGAGCACACGGTTAGAGGATAAATCTACTAACCGTTAATCCTACCATTAAAGCAGTTCAGACACTGTTGTGTATGTAATCAATCAGGTATGGATATTTGACCCCGAGGTATATCGGGTCAACAAAACAAACAAAACGTATTGGGGTTGTTACTTTTCACTTTTCAATTTATCACAAAAATCTGAAAACCTAGAGTAGGGTCTAAGGTTATTCGGTCAAATCTTCATGTTCCACTTTCCTCTCTTTGCTCAAACTTTCTCGCAGCACCCACTTGTCCCCGGAAAAAACTCCAGTATTATACACATGACAAGTTTCACTTTTCGAATCTTCCCAGATTTTTTCTTCATTCACCTTGGATTTTAAGTTTCGAAATGGCACTTCTAACCAGCCATTAATGTAATTGTACAATGCGTAACCTACTATTATTAATTATAAGCTGTGGCGTTTGTTGGTTCAGGTGGGCTTATTGTTGATTAAATGAGGACATAGTGTATGCCATCAGTGACGCTAAATGCACAAAAATTGCACAAATAATGCGAAATGCATTAAATTTGTATTAAGGCAAAGACTTGACCTACCGCAATTTTACATAACGGCGAGTATAGAAAATGTATTGTATAATTGAAAAGCGATCTAATTAAATAACACGTTGTGCTTGATAGAAATCGTAACTTTGCTTGAACAGGAAACCTCCAACTGATTGTTTGAGTTGCTCAATTTGTTTCATTTTTATTATAGTTATTAGTTGTAGATGTTCTTTAATGTTCTTCCAGTGCGCAAACCATAAATGTGTTCTTATCGTTTTCTCTTCAACCACAACCATCCATATTGAATACTTAAAAAATAACAAGTTTTGCCACAGTTTTTTGTCTACTTGGCAGTGGAAAAATCGAACGGCGTAAAAAATTCTGTCATGGCCGACTAAACTACATCGTCACTGTTCGATTTTCCTTTACAACGGAGATTTGACATCAAGTCAAACGAAACAAAAAAGTTAAAACCGTAGAAACCGCAAATGTTCTGAAACAGTTCAACCTTCAAACATGAACATCAGTTACACTGCTGTAAATTAAATTTTGTTAAGAAATACATAACTAATTTACACTACAATAAAAGTAAGAGGAAAACCACACACAACATTGGCGTAACAAAAACTACAAGTGTGTCTTACTCTTGTATCAGATTCAAAATTAAAATAATACAGATCTACGGTCTAATAATTTCAATTTTCATATGTTTGTATTACTTTTGCTTGCATTTAAATGTCTTAACGCAATTGTTTGGATTCATTTAGAAAGGAGGGAAACTTGACCTAGCAATTTAACCATTTAAACACCAAATAAAATTGACAACGGAACGATTTTTTTTTGGATCATTAACCAGAACAAATTGCTGTTTTTTAACCAGATATGTAGGTGTATACTCCGGATCTCTGTACCAGTAAATTTTTTTCTTGTTGTTTAACCTTCGGATTTACAGACCCATGGCCATAAATTTTAACAATTTCTCTGTGTACCAACTGTAATAAGACAAAGTATTGACTGGTTTTCTCATCCGAATGGGCACTTTCACTGTGTTTCTTGGCGAAAACAATTAATTTACTCTTGCTTTTTCTTAGACAGTTTAAAAGGTGTACACCCTTTTACGTCAGTCAGAACCGCATTGCGGTTCCCTACAACCACCTCTGGTTCTGATATGATTGTTATTACCGGTATAATCACGATGCAACGATGATTAATTAATATGAAATTTATTGGGGCCGTTACAGCGTATGATTTTATGTAATCTGAATTCATAAACCATCCCTTATTGTTAATTCCAATCAAGTCCATCCGGATTAGCACCGACAACAATATAACTGATAAAAGTGCGGTTTTGCATGGATAAATCACCAATTAAAATGTATGACGCGCTAAATAAGGCATTAAGCCCTTTTGTGTGACTAGAGCCAGAAATCGGAATCGGCGATTTATTACGACACGACTCGGTACCTGTTCCCATGCATATAATTACACAAGTAAGGTACCACATGGTCACAAGGCCGCTGGTTCTCGGCCTTGACCGTTTATAATTCTACCATTGTCCATAGTATGGCGTTTTGGTGGCTTGAAATTATTAATAGTTGCATCCATATTCGATTTACAATTTACAATATCGTTAATTAAGAGATACTTGCTGGGGCTTACACTCTTCTCTGCGAGTCTGCCGCAAGTTAATTAATAATTTAGAAAGTGCAGATTATGTGTTGATCGAAGCGACACAATGCATACATAATAATATCATTTGTTATTGTTTTCAGAGGCCGCTTCTCCGAGGAACCCCCCAAAGGCTGTTGCGGCTTGTTGGCATGGAAACCTGGTTCTTTGCGATGGTTCATAGCGGTGATCGCTTTGGTGGCCGTCTGTTGTGTTTTGGTTGGTACAGCCCTCGGTGCCATGAGACCCGCAGGACGGGACCATCTCACAGTATCACTCCTCATGATAGGTAAATTACCCTCCAAGCAGGATACACACAATATAATTTTGGTGGGGGGCGAGTTAATTATCGCATTATTAAACTGCGGATTACTCTCGTAGTCATGGTGACAGATGCGAATTTAGCTGAAAGCTTATCAAGGGAATTATTGTGATATCCTGACGACGGCTACTAGACGAACGGATTAATTTTTAACTAGCAATCCGGCGAAAAACGACGCCAACTAATGCAATATGCAAATTACTCTAGTCGGAAAAACATACACTGGATAAATATAGTAATCCACATTTCATGTTGCACATCCCGAATGGGAAATATGCTCCAATAACAGCAATGTCGCTTGTTCCATTGTGACCGATTTCTAGGTGGCTTAACATCGAATGTACTTCACGACTCATGATCGAAAAAGAGGAAGACTTCGAACAACTTCTCAAAGTTAATTTAAAAGTTTTTCAGATATTTGTTTTGTCCCATTGGAGTTGGCCTCGATTTTCATTGTACGGACATTGTCGAACGTGTTTATGAAGATTTTATTTCGCTCACACAATAAAGTAGACGTGTCGATGAGGCTTTAATGAAATTTTATGACCGACTATTGCAACTCCCTTCAAACATCCCACTTCCATTAAAATTAATAAGGCTCTTGTCCACTCTTGTTGTTGCCATTTTTTTTTTGTTTATTCCAGTCTCGTACCCGTCCATCTTTAAAGGTCATTTATTTTGAATATACAGTAATCTAACTGTTCCGTTTAACTGATATGCAGTATGCATTTTGCCTTACTTTCTATCCACTATTCCACTTTGTTACATAAAACCTCGCCCGGGCATTGACGAGCCATAAACTTTAATAACTCACTATCCACCGGGTCAAAAGCGTATTTATTGTTCCCCAAAGGGCAAAAAAGCCCCAATTAACTCCCATATTGACAGAAATGTTCATTTTTCACATGTATAACGGTTCGTTCCCCTCTCTGTTCCAGGTGTGGGCATCGTCTTGGTGACGGTCAGTGGCGTGGCCTGGAGACTCACTTCGCACGATTCATCAACTTGTCGCTCGATGCTCGGATTGGGGTCCACCGAATCCGTTGATGTTTGCACAAGACGTTTTGTTCCTCGACTGCCGCCGTCGTACGGCCGTCCCCATCACCCCTACGCCGCTATGATGTATCCAGAGTTCCAGTATCGGCCACCGCCCCCTAGCTATCAAGCCTCGATGCAAGAATATAGACTGAGACTTTTACTTTTGGACAGGGGCAACACTCCACAGATCCAGGCAGGGATTCAAAACGCTGTCTCTCCACCGCCGACGTATCGCAGCCATGCGGGTAGTCTACTTAGGTTTGTCTTTGGATATTTGAGACTTTTGGACTAATTTCTCGCTTCTAGGGCTCCCTTGTCGAGTCGGAGAGATGCGGCCCAGTCGGAGTACAGTTGCCCGCCCTCGTACCGGTCACAAACCAGTACGAATCGGCCTGGGACTCTTCAGAATTCGGTTTTGCATAGTCGCGAACAAAGCTTAAGCTTGTCGGAATCGAATCATGAAGAATCGGTCAACGTTGTGAACATTTTGGGTAGTACTGAAGAAGATATGGCTTTAGATAATATAACTTTAGATTCGTTGAAAATGGAACCAGAAAGTGATATTAATCCGTTAAGAATGCTTCTTAAAGGCAGTTCTAGTGATCTTGAAGGTAGCAAAGACGGGAATTTGGTCACAATTGTGCAAACTAGTGACCAAAGTCCCGTCATTGTTACAGTGAGTGGAAGCTCACAAATCGAAGGCAATACAATGCAAATACCATCCGAAATGGAAATCCTGGCGCATTTATAGTCAAAATTCTCAAAACTCATTCCTTAAGGTTAGTGTACATCCAGTTATGTATCACTTTGTATTATAATTATGCGATGAAATGTGCCTATATTGTGTAGATAGTCTATAAATAGCATTCTGTATATTATTATTATTATATTTTAAACTGTATAAAAGTAAATTTTTAATAAGAATTGTTAAACGGTCTTCTTCATTTGAAAAACCCTTTAGTACGCATGCGTGTCGTCGCTTTAGACACACACACACACATGTCAAAAGAAATAACCTCGACTCGATATGTGGTCACAATATGACGAAAACCTCCAAAACAATCCTTTTTTTCTCGAAATTATTAAAAATCATGGTGACTTGGTAGTGAAAGCGTCGCAAGAGAATTGGATCATTTGTGTGCCTCGTATCGGTGTCATTGACCCCAGTGAAATAACAATTGAGACGATTCTTGACCATATTCTAGTGCCCTCGGATCGTGTTGTATACACCTTGAGCAAAAAACAAGTCACAATCAAAAACAAGGAAATCGTAATTAGTGACCGTCCAAGAACCCTCCATATACTCTTCGAAGAAACTTTTTACATCCAAGACTTGAAATATACAGTTTTCTGCATTGATAGCCCCCTGTTTACAAATCGAATGATATGTACTAATGAGGTGTACAACATTGAGACCCTTCACGACTGTATCGACTTCCTCTGGAGCGAGAACTTGAGTCACGTTTTGATCAAAATCCAGCGTTTGTGTGCGAGTTTCATTGACCAGAATTGTAGTTTTTGTATGGAAAACCTGCAAAATCAAAAGGATTTAATCGGAAGTTTGTACTCTCAATGTCTACAACTTGTCCTGAAAAACCGGAGTTTTACCGACTGTGACCATATCAAGCTAGCTGTGGAAACATACATGCAGAGCTGTCTCGATAAATTCCTCATCCGTGCAATAAACACAGTCACTTGTGTTGCTGATTCCGATTTGAACAAAATCATCCGCAACTCCAGTGAACTCCAATTGAAAGACTTGTCCATCCCTCGGAAATTCTGTGATAACATTACAAACGCCAAGAGCGAACTAAGCAAAATAAACAACTTCGTTACGATCCTGGACAAGGTTAATTGTATAAAATTAACGTTCAATCATTTATACACCAACATTTGCTTAACCTCCGACGATGTTTTACAACTTTTCGTCTTCCTAATTCTTAAACTAAACATCAGTAACTGGACATCGAATCTGGTTTACTTAACCCAGTTCCAATTCAGTACCCATACACCCAACGAGAGCAATTTTCTCGTCACCTCACTTGAGGCAGCTTTAGAATTCATCAAAAGCGAGCAATTCGCCAAAATCAAATCTAGTCACTCGACCACTCCTTTATTCCAAACAATCGTAACGGACGACTTGGCCCACTTACGAAAACTACTAGAAACGAAGAAAAGCGATACGAACTTGTGTCATCCATTGTGCGATTGCGACAATTGCAAAGTGGTGGATTCTAGTCATGATATTGCGGCGGTTAATCACAGAGGTCAAAGCCTTTTGACTTTCGCTACTGTTTTGGGGCGGACCGAAATCGTCGAGTTTTTAATTTCATTAGGGGCCGAGGTTAACTCAGTTGACTATTTTGGGAGAAGTGCATTGCATTATGCGTGTCTTAAAGGCTTCCAAGACGTTTTATTAATTCTAGTCAACTGTAAAGCTGAGGTCAATGTCAGAGACCATGATAGGAATACTCCCTTACATGTCGCTTGTAACAATGGACACGAGAATTGCGTCAAAGCTTTGTTTTACACCTCGAAAGGCTTGGATATCGATTGTGTCAATAAGCACGGGGACACTCCTCTACATTTGGCTATCAAATGGAATTATGTGGGGATAGTTAGGGTCTTAATCGAGAATAACGCCAATGCTTGCATTGCTAATAGGAAGAATCAACTTCCGGTGAGTTTGGCTCAGAATTATTACACTGAGCGGCTTTTGGGCCAGTTTAGTGAGCCTGAGTCAGGGCCAAAAACCACCCAATGCCAAATAGACCAGTTCAAGAAAATCGATCTATTACTCAAAGCTATAGAAAATAACGATTTGCCTCTAACTTGTTTCTATTTGGGTTTCCCTAATAGTTCAAAACATTACGATTTTCAATCGAAATGTCACCCTTTGTGCAACTGTGAGAAATGTGAGGACTTGGATACTGGTCAAGACTCAAACGTGGAGCGTATAAACGTCAACAGTTGCAATATTGATGGCTTCACTCCTCTTCATTTCGCTGCAAAATATGGAAGAATCGAATTACTTCGTATCCTCCTCGATTCTGGGGCTTTGCCCAATTTGAAAACCTACAAGACCCTTCAAACGCCCCTCCACTTGGCTTGCATCAATCAACAATTATCCGTCGTGAAGGAATTGGTCAAATGTGGGAATTGTGAAGTGGATTCGCAGGATTACAACGGAAACACACCTCTGTACTATGCATGCGTTCGCAATGATGCAAAAATCGCCCAAGTGCTACTCACAAATGGGGCCAATGCGGATATTAGGGATTTTCAAGGGAACTCCATAATCAAGGAAGTGCAAGAGAAGAGTCTCATGTGAAAATAAATTTTCTACACTTTTTCGTTTGTGTTTTATTTGAAAGTAGCAACACACTTAATTGGTCTAAAGCTTGATCAGTACGATAAATGCAATATACAACAGCAAACACAGGTAAGGCGGTTTTTTGAAGTGAGCAACGGATCGAAAATTGTACGTTAAGGCATACTGACGACCAGTAAGGCTTGTAAAAGTTTCAAAAGGTCTGTATACTTATTATAAAAGGTAGGTATAAATTTATTGCGGCTAATAATACTTGTCTTGCCTTTTGGAAATATTTTAATCTTTCCAATCTTTTTTGATTTCGAAACTCCACTCCCATTTGAGATGCTCGTTTTTGTCGTCGTCGGTGAAGAGGGAGTGGACTGTGTATGACCCGCGCGCTAGCATCCCCGTGGGGGCGTCCTCGGGTGGCGTGGTGTAGGATTGAATTTCCATCTTGGGGGCGTACGACCCGACCATGTGGGTCATCTTATCCACTATAAAAACACCACTTAAAACTGAACACGTTTCGGGGGGCTTAAATCAGTTACCTGGGTCTAGTGCATCCGCAAGCGTTAGTTTTTACAAAAATGAATCAATTGAGATTTTCGCAAGGCACTTACCTGACATTCCCAGTTTGCTGGTCTTTTGAACGTACTTAAGCCCGTGCACGATTTCCCTCTGGACGATAAATTCTATCCGGATTCGGTACGAAACGCCCTCCTTAATCACGAAAGTCTCTTTCTTCAATCGAGATAAATCCCCGGTTAAATCTAAGGCGATTTCCGGCCGGTCGGCCACCACCAAGACTAGCCGTTTCACGATAACTTTCCTGGGGTTATCGTGCTCTGAAACGGCAATTTGTCAACATGAAACCCCCAACTGGCTCAAATAACTCACCGACAATCACAGGGCCGGTTTGGGCTTGCCCTAGGAGAGTCTCCTTGTATTTCCGCAGACTCTCATCGTCCTGGTCCGCCTGGAGGATCTCTTCGATGGTTTTCTCCGGCGGGGGCTTGTAATTTGTCTCGTTTTCATGCTCAAATTCGTCGGGGGTTGTCACGTCGCCTTCGGACATTTTGGCTGCGGAGAATGAGGTTAAGTCGCAAATTATTCGCGAAATTCGAGTTTATTGTCACAAATTAAGATTGTTTAGTGATAACACAAGTTATCTTGAAATTTCACCGGAATTTTTCACCACAAAGCCGAAAAATGTACCGGAAAAAAACAAAAGAACGCTAAGATATTTTAAGTAAAAAAGGGCTCACCTTGGGGTTATTTTACTGAACTAAAGCACCAATTTTATACTGTGTGTTTGTTTAAAGCTAGTATTGCGAATTTTGTATGAAAAAAGTGGGTGTAAACCTCCTACTGTGTGGTTTTGGCGTTTGCGTCTCAGTGGGCGCAGGAAGTGGCGGGTGATTTGAATAATCAGTGCAAAAGTCCAATTTACATTTTATTGAATATATAAAATTGATAGCAACATTTCTTGGTTACTTATATAATTATCAATAATGAGTAAAACACAACTTAATTAACAGAAAGAATTTGCAGAAAAGTACAACATAAGCATAAATTTATTAAGTTTGGCCACATGGTGACCTTATAAACTCTTTATTTACAATGGAACTGTCAAAGCTAGAGCTGAACTCTTTGAAAAGGCGTGTTGTAAATAAAACCGGGAGCTTGAAGGTATTTACAGCTTCATACAATGTATTTTTCCCGTGTCAGTCAACTTTCAGGTGGTAAATAGGCCGTGAAGAAATCTCGTCGAAATACCTTCATCTCGTCTCAAAAAGCACCAGGCTGTCGAACAAAGGAGTACATCGATTCAAAAGAACTCTTTTAATAACAATGATGTACACCACACAATTTCGATTGCTAAAATAAAGTAATACACCCCTTAATTCAATAAATTAAAATTAGAAATGTACAAAACATATCTAGAGGAAAATTATACCATTACACCAGACTAAATATAATTACAAAAAAAAAAAACATTAATTAAAAAATTCATCATTATTTCACACGCTACTGTTTGTAGCACCGATCTAGAGTCTCTTCGTGGACACCCACAATACAAAATGAACATTGTGTGGTGGTCACCTCGGAAAAATGTCCACCAGTCGATTGCGAGTTGGATAAAATGTCAAGTTTACAATCTAATCTAGCGACGATTTACTCGATTAATTTCAGTACCTTTCCGATGGCAATTGTTTTATCTGGAACAACAACTCGTTAATTAACAACCAACACCTAACCCACAAACATACTTTCATCTCTGAGCGTAAAACGACCCATTTGAGGGAACAACTTGAAGGGCTCCAAACAGATCACGCCTGCGCATTCTATTCGCATTATGGCTACCTGGTCTTGCTTGACGAACCTCGGCCGCGTTTTACTCTTTTCACCAGTCTTTTTGTCAACGAGACAAATTAAGGCCTGCAAACAAGCCACGATAAGTGTGCTTTGCTGTTTATTTGAGGGCTTACCTTGACGGTGACTTCTTCGGCGGCGCAATGGATGTGCATAACGGCACTATAGCCGGCACAAATGATCGATTTGTGTTCCAGAATAACAAGTTGGGCATCGAATACTCTACCGGTGTGGATCGGATTGACGGCGTCGCAGAGCACGAAACCGGGACTGACGTCTTCTTCTTCGACACCTTTTACTTTGACTTTGACGTTTTCGCCGGGCACGATGCGATTGACTTCGTCGTCGTCAGAGAGCAGCATATCGACAGTGACGGGAGTCTATAATTGGTTATTAAAATTGGGATTTAAAAAAAAACTCTGTATTTTTACCCTGTTTGGCATAATGACGAGACTTTGTCCTTTTCGACATTCACCAGATTCCACTTTACCCATAAGAACTGTTCCCATGTCTTTGTATTTGTCTACTATTGGCATTATGAAAGGGCCGTCGATTTTTCGATTCAGAGATGGCAGATCGTCGATGAAGGGAATGAAAGCGGGCCCTCTGGAAATTGCAAAGAAAAATTTTCAGAAATCGATAAAACAATAATACAAATAAAAGATATATATTTTTTGGGATGTAATTTTTGTATTTTCCGATCAATTAGACATTAAAAATAAATAAATATAAACATCAACATTTTATATCGTTCGTCTGAAGTTGTGAATCACATAAAATGAGAACCATATACTAGGTGAATCAAGTCTTATCCGCATGCCCAAAACAACTTTTTCTAATTAAACTAAAAATTATGCAATGTGTATATTAAACTAAACTGCTTTTTATCATCACTTTATTTGTACTATAAAACATAAAAAAATATAATCAAAAAAATATTAATTATAATTTTTATATATTTTTTAAAAGATTTGTCAATAATTACGTCTTTTTTAAATTAAGTTTGAACGTTTTGTAGGTTCCCTTTAAATTATTGTTACTTTATAACTTTGCAGTTGTGTACCTCTATCAAAATCTAAAGCGTTTTTAATGAAGTAAAATTAGTTTACTAATTTTAGTACTCTTATACCTGTAAAATGTATAGTCTTTGTTTACTGCTTAATTCTGATATTTTGCAATTATTCTACCCCTAATTTGTTACTAAAAACTTCTATTTACTTAAAGGCAAAAAATCGTAAAAGTATAATCAATTTAGCAAAAGTGAAAAAAGTAAACAATTTAAAAACTGGGAAAAATGATTTTCTATTTGAAAACGTTATCTACAGGAGTGTCAGAACTCGCACCCCAGAGAAAAATTTCAAGTAAGATAAGATACCAGAAAGATGGAAAAAATGTTTATAAAATTCTGTCAAAAAATTTTAATATTTAACATTTTTTTATGTCTACTTAATGAAACTGATGATCTTGTATACGTTTTTTTATAATTTATTACATAAAAGTATAAAAAAAATGGCAATAAAAGCCAGAAATAACATTAAAGAGAGTTACAGTTTAGGATACAGCTTCCTTGCTTCCTCTTCTTATAGACTGTAGCAAAAAACTTGAAAAATTATTTTTCCAACAGAAATATAGTCAAAATGCAAAACTTAAACTCTCATAACTTCGAAATTTTTATAGATATCTTACCTTACATGACATTTTTCTCTAGGGCGCGAGTTCTGACGCATCCTGTATATTTCTATAATTTTAGTAAGTAAAAAAAATATTACCAAACATGATTTGAAACAAACTTTTTCTTATATCTAACTTTCTTTTTCATTCTCAAGTCAAATACATATAACACAAAAATTAAATATATAGTAATAAACAACTTCCCATAAAAGAACTTATTATTCATACAAGTAAGCCCGAAAATTTAAACATAAAGTAATTATAATTTATAATAAAGATTTATAAATAATTGTCACTGAATTAAAAATGAATGTTTTTTTTTTCTATTTTTAAAATATTGTTATTTTTCAACTTAAGCAGTTGTGTAACTCTTGTGCTAGAGCTCTTAAAATGTAGAGCGTTTTTAATAAAGAAAAAATTCTTTATTGTAACACTTTGTAGCTACCAATAAAAGCTTGCAATTTTTTTTTATTGCTTGATTTTTAATATTTTGTATGTCAAACATCGGAAATTTTTACTGCCAAATTGTTATCAAATACCTCATTATCAACTTTATTATTTAGAAAAGGTGAAAGTTGAAACATTGTAAAAAAGTTTGTATTTCTAAATATTCTTTTATCCTTAATTTAATTTTGCATTATCTCTTAAGTATTTACGAAAGTTCTAAAAATATTTGAAACAATGTCATGTTGTCCTACTTTTAAAACGCATTTAGAAGACAGTTATATTTAGTCATTGCAGATCTTTACCTATACCACGGACAGATTGACTCATCCACTTGATCCTTCAGCCCTTGTCCTGTCTGTCCCGAACACGGCAAAAAGAACAAATCCTTGTTAAAATTAAAACCAAGTTTTTTGAGATAGGGTAAAATTTTATCTCTGCATTCGTTGTATCTAGCTTCATCCCAGTTAACGGTAGGATCGTCCATTTTATTGACAAGTACAACCAAATATTTGACACCGGCCGTTTTGGCCAACATTGCATGTTCTCTCGTTTGACCACCTCTATCGAATCCCGTCTCAAATTCCCCTTTCCTCGCCGAAATCACCAAAACGGCCAAATCGGCCTGAGCAGCGCCACCAATCATATTTGGAACAAAACTCTTATGACCTGGCGCATCCAAAATTGTGAAATGTTTCTTCTCAGTTTCGAAAAATGCCCGGCCAACTTCCACAGTCTTTCCTTTGTCCCTTTCTACAAACAATTAATTATAATTTGAAAATAATTTCTATGAAGTTTATATACCTTCTTGGTTCGTGTCAAGGGCCCATGAGAGGTACCACGACTCCCGACTCTTCTCTCTCGCTTCTCTTTCGTACTTTTCAAGCGTTCTCTTATCCACCATCCCCGTTAATGCCATAATTTGCCCCCCGATTGTTGACTTTCCCGCATCCACATGTCCGATGAAAACCACGTTAACGTGTTCCTTCTTGTCTTTGAGCACTTCTTCTTTGACTGTCTTCTTCTTGGGGATTTTAATGGGGGCTTCTTCAGAAGAGGGTTCGTCGTCGTCGGCCTCGGGAGTGATGAGAGGGTCGTTGTCTTCGACAACGACGTCTTCCCAGGTGCCCCCATCGCCGGGGGATGCGTCGCCGTCTGCAGGCGGGATGGGAGGGGGCTCCTTTACTTCCACTCGCTCTGCCGATTCCGCGTTCGTTCCTAACAAAAAACCTGTGAGAAAAGGTGGGGAGGAAATACCGCCCTGGACCGGAACGAACTGGTTCAGAGCAAAAACATGCTATATTTGGTTTAGGCGTCATGGAGGGATGACTGGGGGATTAAGGCCGGCCCTGGACGGGCGGCCCCTAACCTAAACGTCAAAAGTGCTGACGTACCGTTGAGGATGGGAGCGTGTTCAGGGGAGGCCTCGGACGTCGGCGACTTCGTCGGGGAGCTCTCATCAGCGTTGACTGCAGGCTTTGCAAATGAAGGCACGAATTCAACAGCATTCACGTTCAACGTGGAAAATTTAGCTGTCACATCTGCATTGTGACTGGGAGAATTATTTGGCGACGTAGAGTCAGCTTGAGATTCCCAACTGTCCGGGGCTGTGTTATTCGACATTTTGTGCACTTGGTTCGTTTCAATTTCGCTATTAAACACTTAAAAATTAATAAAACTTGCTAGCTTTCAGCTGCTCTAAATATCCGCGTGCGTTCACTCACTGCCACCGGAAACTAATGGCCGACTGTCATCACAAACTGCAAGAAACACCCCAAAAACAACAACCACAACACCACCACACCTTAGTACTAACCCAAAAAACGAAATTTTATTTTTAACAGTCACTCCCGATGTGCCTTGAGTGCAAACGCTGAAACGACTTTTTCATGAACACGACTCTTTTCCAACCGGGCCGGAAACACAATGGCGCGTCTTTTAAATTTGACATTTCAAAAATTGCAATTCAGGGAAATAAAAATTAAAAAAATGTTCAATTTCAAATAATCGTTTATTTAATTTTCGTTACAAATTTTGCTGTGCCTCTTTCTCCCGTTCAATTTTCATTTGACGCTTCGCAGCTTTTTGCTCCATTTCCTCGTAGGACTCCACAAACATTAGTTTTAGGGCCGGATACAATAGTGGTATTAGCGGTAATTCGTCCAACTTTACCTAAAAAACGTAATAAATAACTCAGATTATGTTTACATTCTTGTCTTACTCGCATATTATCAAAAGCAATACCGACGTTATCTGAAAAATTCTCGTTAAATCTGGGCAATTTCGCATATCTTTGGCTAAAATGTGTCAAGAGTGTGTATTTAGCATCCATTCTGCGGCCGATTTCGATCGCTTGAGACGTAGTTGAATGCATTTTAATGACAGCCTCGGCGGCTAATTCATCCTCCATTGTGGCTTCGTGGATCAGCAAATCGCTGTTTTTCCCCAACTCGACGAGATTGTCTGATGGCATTGTGTCACCAGAGTAGGTTATTTTGTAACCATTTTTGTGAACAAAACTGACACCAAAGGCATTAGGGCAATGTTTGACAAAACAGGTGCTTATATCACGCATTTGGAGACTCTCAAGAAGTTTACTTTCCAAATTCTCGTCCAATTCGTGATTATTAAAAAACTAAAATCAACATAATAACAATTCATCAGCGAAAAAAAAACAACACTTTATTTACCAGTTCGCCATTAGGCACCAAAATAAATTCCTCCCGTATATTTTCAAAACACCTATCATAGAAACTAAGCCACCACATGATTTGTTTAGGTGCAAACAAAAACAAGGGCTGCGACTCCTTACCCAACTTTTGCATTGCCCTTTTGCGCCCTTGCAACACCCCCACCAGCCCCAAATGATGATCGGCGTGCAAATGCGAAATATAAATTGCCCCTATTTTAGCCAACTCGGCACTCGCCTTGTCTTTACCATAAAACCTAACAATTTGCCCCAAAGTGCCTTCCCCACAATCTACCACAATATTTGTATTTTCACTACAATCAATTTTTTACTTTTTAAACCGTTGAGTTGGCACCACTTACTCAATTTCAAGCAACATCCCACTTGTATTTCGCGTTTTGTTCGGAATCGATGAACCAGTACCCAGAAACAGCAATCGGGGGAAGTCCCGGATTGTTAAATGGCGTCGCTTTTGCGCCATCTTTTGGGTGACTTCGTGCAACACTGATGGGAAATTTTCAATAGTCATTGTTTCTTCAATGAATTGCGAAGGCACCAGTTTTAGTTCCCCTAACCTGTCGCAGGCTTTTTTGGGCCGTAGATGGTAATTGAAAAGTGTGTTTGTGTAAATGTGGTCGGAAGGTGATGAAGGTTGCGACTTTACCGACAGAGTTTCGATTGGGATGGAGGGGCTGTCGGGTTTCATTTTTTTGGGTTGTGGAGGCTCTGTGAGTTGCTCGTCGATTATTTCAGTGCCTTTGTCGCCCAAAAGTGGGAAAATGTCATTTGATAAAAGATTGAGTTTGTATTGAATCCTATGAACTGCTGAACTACCCATGCAAGTGTTGGTTTCGTTCAAAATTAAGTGATGGGTGCTTGGGGAAAACTTATCGATCCATTCCTTGTATCTGAAACAATTTTTTAAATTTGTGAACCAATTTCGGGAATAAATACTTGGGGTGGTTTAGTATTTTTTGTGGAGTGAAATGAACGACTGTATGAGCTAGATCGTCGTCTTTCGTGGCCGTTGATTGGTGTTTTTTGAATTCTCCACTCTCAATAAGGGAATCTAAATACTCCTCCGAGGGGCATTCGACAACTAAAAAAATTTTACAGCCAATGAAATCATTTTTTTTTTTAATACCTATAAAAACAGGTCCAGGATCGTCAGGTTCACAAACATCTGAAGCTTTAACAACATTTCCATTGGCGAGAATTACATCTTGGCCTGATTTCAGTCGCCCCAAAAGCGGCCCCGGGGGTACACCAAAACTGACGCACTTGTCCAAACACAGTGCCCCCGGGCGAGGCTGTAGCTGGCAAATATAAGCCATACTGAGATTTGTTGGTTTATTTTTATGTTGAAGCAATTTAGATTCGGAAATTTTTGGGGGGCTTTTTCGCCTACCACTATCTAAAATATATTAAATCAAAAAAACAAAACAAAAACGTGGATAATTTTTACGTTCATGAGCGTAATAATCGATATTGTCTTCCTGAACTTGACCAAAATTTGAATTTTCGGAAATTGGGGAGGAATTTCCGCTACGTCTCAGAGGCACATATTTAACTTTCAAGACGTTGTCTTCAAAACTTGTATTTTCGTCACATTGGGCCATTTTAATTTCCAAGTCTTTGATTATAATGAAACGGCGAGTGGCAATAAAAATTTCTTCCTTGAAAAATAAATAAAAATCGGAGACACACTTGAGGAGAAAATTACTAATCCTTGAGGACCATGCAGGGTAATTTCCGGCACTCCCACATCTTGTATCGTCAAAGCGGCCCCCGGCAGCCCCCCAATATTCGTCCACGTGGGCCGTGTGATAAAAATATGTTCCAATTTCGCCAATTTCATCTTATGTTCATGAGCCAAACGTTGTGTCCCTTCGCCACAGTTGAATAAATACCTAGAAAAAATATTAAGACTCAATTTTTCATGAAAAAATTAAATACCGTGACTGATCTGAGAAAACATAGAGTGACCTAGGAGCCCCTTCGGCTCCAGTTCCCAAAACCTGCAACGTGACCTTTCCAGGACTGTATTTACTGTATTTTTCTTTGATTTTCCGACGCTGTTTTTGGGCTTCTGGAATGTGTTTCTTCTCCTTGGGCATGGTCTTCAAAACATTGAGTAGGTTAGAATTTAAGACTTTAGAGTAATGACAGGCTTGAAAAAAAGGCACACGACTAGACATTAGATTTTGATGAAAACTGATGAAATCAATGAAAAAAATGGTGAAATATTGGAAAATTTGAAATTGAAAATGTGATTGTGACACTTGACATTTGGAACTCTAAGGCGTGAAGTTGGCGAAAAATAATTTCGTGAAACTTACTTTTGTAGAATTTTTTACTTGTTTTGTGTCAGCACAACAAGGTTTTGCACTTTTTTAATGAGAAATCATTAATGGATGATATCTTTTAATTCATAATAGATAAAAAAATCGTTCATTATTTTTTTGTTGCTAACTTCACTTACTACTAACCTCAAAGTGACATAACCTTAAATTAGTTTTTCACGTGTTTGAAATGGCAAAAATAAAGAGAAAAATTATTTCCAAGCCCCCACAAAAAGCGAAGAACACCAAGTTGAAGAAAACTAAACAATCGGAAGATTACAGTTCAATGTCAGTGGATAAATTCCTAGATCAAGATTTTGAAGAAAGTGCTTCTGATGGAGAAACCAAAGCAAGTGTCTCTGATCAAGACTCAGAAATCGAGGACACTCAATCAGGAGACGAGATAGAGGAACATAAAGCCGCCTTGAATAAACTCAAAGACACAGATCCCGAATTTTATAAATTCTTGCAAGACAATGACAAAAAATTGCTTGAATTCAACCTTTCTGATGAAGAAGAGGGCGAAGATGACGATGCAGAAAACGCGCCCCACAAACCACCGGAAGAATTAGAAGTCGCTAGTGACGAAAGTGACTTTGAGGAGGAGACTCAAGTCAAGGAAAAGGGCACAGTGACTTTAAAAATGCTCAAAAGCTGGGAAAACATGATCCAGAGTGACAAATCCAACAAGACTATCACCACAGTCATGCGAGCCTTTCATGCAGCCCTCCTTCGAGTAAGTTCAGAGGAGGGCCAAGAACCTTCCACTTTCAGGGTCGAGGGCTCCGCTGTCTTCAACGGAGTGATCCAGTTGTGTGTTTTGCACCTAGGACCGGCCTTGCGCCGGTTTCTGGGGCTAGCAGACGGCTCAAAACAGCCCCCACACAAGTGTAAAAAATTCGTAAAAGTCAAGAGGGTCCTCAAGGATTATTTCATGGATCTTTCTAAGGTAAATAAGTTTGAAATAATGATTCGGTTATAACCGAGTGATTTCAGTTGTTAAGTGGCGTCAGTTCTGCCAACATCCAAACCGTCCTCCTGAAACACCTCCATTACTTGTCCCCGTTTGTAGTTTCCTATCCCAACATTACAAAATTGATTCTGAAGCGCCTGATCACGATTTGGGGCACAGCCGACGAGGGGGTACGTGTTTTAGCCTTTTTGTGCATTTTGCGCATTACCAATGGGCAAAAAGCCAAGTTTTTGGACACTGTTTTGAAATCGATGTATATGACGTATGTAAAAAATTCGAAATTTGTGAGTGTGGGGTCTTTGGCGGCTATAAATTTCATGCGACGGTCTCTAGTTGAAATGTTTGCGTTAGACGCGGGAGTCGCTTATCAACACGTTTTTTTGTACATCCGCCAATTGGCGATTTATTTACGAAACGCAATCACTGTTAATAAAAAAGAAAACATTCAAGCGGTCTACAATTGGCAATTTGTCAATTCTTTAAAATTGTGGGGGAATTTCTTGAGTGTGACTTATCACAAAATGCAGTTGCAACAACTGGTGTACCCCTTCGTGCAAGTGTGTTTGGGGGTACTTAAGTTGGTACCCACGACTCAATATTACCCATTGAGGTTCCATGTGGTGCAAATTTTGATGGATTTGTCGCGTGATACGTGCGTTTTTATCCCAGTCTTGCCTTTCATCCTTGAAGTTTTGACGTGTTACGATTTTAATAAGAAGCACCAAAAAGTTTCAATGAAACCGATCCAGTTCACGTTTTTGTTGAGAGTCTCAAAGTCTCAAATGATGGAAAATGGGTTCAAGGATGCGGTTATTGAGACGATTTATGAGTTGTTGCTCGAATATTTAACCACCAATTCGCACAGTATTAGTTTCCCTGATTTGAGCCTCTTGTGTGTTGTTCAGGTAAAAATTCAATTTTGTGTGAATTCTGGGGTCATTATTTTTTTTGTAGATAAAACAATTTGTGAAAAAATGCAACAATGCGAACTACAACCGCAAAATGAAACAACTCATAGAGAAAATCGAGCAAAATTCGAAATTTATCGAGAATGAGAGAAGCAAAACCACGTTGAATTTAACAAATTTCAAGCAGATTGAAGGTTGGGAGTCGCAGATCAAGTCACGGGGGACGCCTCTTAGCACGTTTTATGACAGTTGGATTAAGCTCCATAAAATGAAGAAGAACAAACAGTTGACTAATAATGAAGAATTAGGAGAGTATAATTTGCCTACGATTAAGAAAAAGCCGGCGAAGGTTCGAGATGAAGGCCCGCTTGAGTTGTTCCCGAGTGATAGTGAAGATGAGAATGAGGGGCAAGAGAAGAAACGGAAAAGGGGGAAGAGAGGCGGGAAGAATGTTAGTAAGAAGGTTAAGGATGAGAGTGGGCCTGTAGAGGATGATGGAGGGGAGGATATTGTTGAGGATTTGAAAATGAGCGATTGGTGATTCGTTTGAAAAAATATTTTTTATTGTATTATTTTAATAAAATGATTTTGAAATTAATTTTGGTGTTTTCATTTCTTCCAATTGCACTAAGAATTACTAAAAACGTCACGGAAATTGAGTAATTTTACAGTTATTAATTATCCGAACGATTTATTTTTTTTTTCTTAAGGTCTTTGGTACATGTAGGAAGGACATTGTTAGTTTCCATATAAATACTATAATTTTATTATAAAAAATAAGTTAAAAAATATATATAAAAAATAAGAATTTCAATTAGCTACATAACAATATACCTAGAAATATCTAAAATATTTAAAAACAAAAAAATTCCTTATAATAGCCGAGAAATACCTTTTCGAAAAATGCATTGAAATTCCCTATCTTGGCAAACGATAAGTTAAGCCTTAAACAATTTGCTTAAAAAAATTCTTGAAAACTCGACCTAATATTAAATAGGAAAATTACATTTTAATTTTATTTTTCCTTTAAAAATTAAAAATTTTTTTGTTTTGGAGCGCTCACTAAAAAAAGCTAGTTTACTTTGAAAATAAAGAATATTTTTATTGCATTGTTTTAATAAAATGATTTTGAAGTTAATATCAGTGTTTTGATTTCTTCCAATTTTACTAAGAACATTACTAGAAACGTTTCAAAATCGTTACGAAAATTGAAAAATTGTTTTTTTAAAACACTTCGAAAAATTCTTGAAAACGAACAAATATCACTTTTATTTTTTCTTAATTTTTTTTCAACAGGTGATTAGGGGGCTTTTAACTCACTGAAAAAAAGCTACGAAATTTTGAAAATTTGAAAAAAATCCTCAAAACTGTTAACACAACTCAGTTTTATATAATTTGTCACTTTTGTAGATATTATTTAACTGTGAATGAATTACTTTTTTTTGACTTAAGGTAGTTTTATTCTCACCTGAGGATGACCACTTTGTGGTCGAAACGCATTGTGCTATTAAAATAAAAGTTTGGTGTGACGGGCTAATCGTGTTTTTGTTCATCGTTTCCATACCAAGAAGATCCAAGAAGAAGAATTAAGGTAATAGAAAGAAAACTTTGAATTTCAGCTTATTTTTATGCAAAAATTAATGCTTTTCCGACGATATTATTTGAGGCGGATAAGTTAGTTTTGAGACGTTTTTCATTAAAAGATCAGTCAAAACATTCTTAAACTCATTTTCTTAAAAACACATAAATAAGAAAGATAATTTAAAAATCGATTAGATGCAAAAACAAAAAAAAAAGAAAGTTTCGTTTAAACTTTTTAAGTTATTTAACTTTTAACAAACTTCTACATTTTATTATCTTTAAAAATGCAATAAATTAAAAAAACTTTTATATCTTTAATATGCAGTAGTGGAAAAATTTTCTTTTTAGCTGTTTTAGTTTTGGTACTTATAATATTTTTTTTTTTAAAGTAAGTATGTTTTCGTTAAAAAAAACAACTTATTTAAAAAACTAAGCAATTTCGACCAATAAAAATTTAGCACTCTCATAGGAAGCTACATGTAAAAATGCTTAGAAATATAGGGAGTTTTATTAAAAAAAACACAAGTTTGTATTATTTTTGGTCTTTACCAACTCTGTGGGACAACTATACAGGGTGAATAAAAAGTATGGAGCCATACGTTTTTTGCTTAAACTATTAATTTTTTGAAAAAACTAATTGATGTATCATAAAGTACTATAAAAATGGGACGTTTTATCAAGAATATTTTTTTTTTCGAAATGTTTTTTTGTTATTGAGTTCTGCAAAATTTTTATTTTTTTAAAATGTTATTTCACAATAAAAAAAAATTTCATAAAGGCTATGATCTAAGGATTACAGCTATCTGCTCTATATTTAATTTTTATCAAAAATTTTTTTTTACATACTTACGTTATCTTTTTGACAAAAAAATCGCATATTTCAAAAACAAAAGAAAATTTTATTCTCAAAACACGACACTTTTTATAGCACTTTAATTTTTATTAATTATTATTTTCTGGAAGCAAAAGATTTAAAAAAATCCGCTTTGGTCCATACTTTATTCATCCTGTATAACGCCCAATATTACAAAAAATAGTTTTCATCTCATTCTGGTTAAAAAAAATATTATTTTTAGACTGTTTTACGTAAAAATAAATTAGTTTTGGGGAGCTTTTAACTCCTTGAAAAAAATGTTTTTTTACCTCTTATTTACGAAAATTGTTAATTTAATATAGGGCTTTCTTGGTCTTAAGAAGTCAAAAAAACAACTTACCTATTTCCACTTTATCCCTGAAATACTTATCATTGTTTAAGTGTTGGTCGAAGACTATTAATTACTGGTTGTTTTTATATTAAATGAATAATTTTTTTTAAGACTAAGAAAGTTTTGAGAATTTTAATGGTTTAGATCGACAAAAAAACATACTTTCTAAGATTCAAATATTTTTCTTTTAAACTGAATCGCATTAAATTACGTAGACTAATCTCGTGATCGTTATTGGGAATATCTAAATATAAGTGTGAATCAGTTGTGACGTAAAATGATGCTCAGTAAATTAAATAAAATTTATTAAAAAAATACAATAATTATAAAACTTATTAGTAATAAGTACGTTTACATTGTACACTGTTATAATATTTGTAACAAATAAATTTACACAAAAGTCTTTTTTGGCACTCTGCTTATTGCCCGACCAGAATATATATTAATATAAATAGTAACCTAACATACATATGTACATTCACTCACACACGTCCTAAACCAAAAATTTCGCTTGTTTTTTATATACACAAAGAAATATGGCCGATTTTAAATCTCACATAAATAATAACACAGTCACACGAACATAAGGCACATAAGAGCTTGACGAAATTCGAGAGTCGGCTAAAGTGACTCGAAACCCGAGATATCACTTCCCTAGAAAAAAAAAATTAGTATGCAACACTTTAACTTCTCAGTGATTTTACCCTATCAGGCTTGTACAAGTGAGTGTGGGGAAGCAAAAATGTCGAACCCAAATCTCGCTCAGCCATTGTGTTTGCCTCCTAAAATAAAAACTTATAAATAAATCAAATATTAAAAAAAATGAGAACTGACATCATTTTGGTGCTGCGATGACGATTTCGATTTCGTATCATAGTCGCCTCTGAACGACTTCATAGGGGGCGGGATTGTGGTCTCATCGTATGACCGTGCCTCCGACACGGTACTAAAAATTTGTGAAAAATAATAATAAAATTAATCAAAATAAAAAACAACTCACTTGATTCGTGGAGTTATATCCAACCAATTCGTCATCGGGTCAATCTCGTCACCCCTGAAATCACAAACTGTGGTACCACAAAAAATACCTATGCAACTCTCACCTTAAAGTATTAAACTGCGACCTTGTGCCAGTACTTGATAACAAATCGGCACTGATTTTCTGAATCAAAGTCGCATTTTCGCTCCGATCGGCTTCGGTACCACAAGTCGTACCCAAAGTACCCATATTGTTGCCCAAAACCGTGGCCGAAACCTCAAAACCGGCCGAAACCAAAGCCCCCGATGTTTTCCTAGAGTTGGGTTTGTTATCATACGAGTCACTTTGTACGCTATATTTGCGTTTGTCGGGCTAAAACCGGAAATTAAAAAGTACCCAAAAATGGTACTTTTGACTCACTTTATTAGGCGAAGGGCCGGCATCTAAATACGACAAAAGTTTAGCTTCGTTACTCGTGGATGGTACTGAGGGCTTCCTGGCGTCAAAAGTCGTATAATTGCTTAGGGGGGACGTGGGAGGGGCTGGGTGGTACTTGGCTCGAGGAATCATAACTGTCAAAGATCGGTCTTTTTGGTCGGGGAATAGTTCACCATGTTCGACATCAGTTGAGGGTTTTTTGAGGGCACCTTTGAGTTTCTTCTTTTTGGCAACGTAAGGGGGAAGATTGGTTTCAGAACGACTGTCTTCAGAGCTTGTGTCTTGGATCATGGCGCGCCGGTCGATGGTACCCCTGTTTGCCACCCTCTGTGGCAGGAAACTCATCCCAGTTGCCATTCTGGCTTTCCGGGGCTTTTTCCGACAACAAGTCATCACGATGCAAATGATGAGCAAGACCACGAGGATGGAGCCGAGGGTCACCAAAGCGATCAAAAGTACTACAGATAAAAAAATTAGTAACTTTTTACCACTAGTGGTGGTAGTACCTTTCAAGTTAATGTGGCAACTCTCCCCGGTGTACCAATGGAAGCACTCGCAGAAGACCTGATCGTCCCCTCGCGAGTAGCAAGTTCCATGGTAGTTACACCTTTCGCATCCAATTAGTTCCGCCGAACAGATCCGACCCGGATATAGGATGTTTTCGGACAAGTCGGTAAAACCTTCTTTACAACTACACGTGTAGGTACCTTTCAAATTGAAGCATTGCGCGTTTTCGGAACAATCGTGGAACCTCGGATTGGTACATTCGTTAAAATCGAGTGCTTTCAAATCGTCAAGACTTTCCCTCGATGCGAAAATTTCGGTACCACCTAGACTATAATTATTGTTTCTCAAGTATTTCTTAAACACATTCTCGAGTCGCTTCTCATCGGTGTTGTCAGAAAGCTGCAAATAAAACCCAGTTGACACTCCTTGTTGATTTTTATTGGGTTTGTATGAATGGATGTGGACCCCGTGGTAGATATCCCTCAAATCTGACTGCATGACCATACGATCGAGGGCTTCATGGGTCACTGCTGTGAGTTTCGTAAAACCGGTCGAGTTCGGATAATTCAAATCTTGAGTGAATTTCAAGTTGTCGCGGCCGTGGCGTTCCAAATCCACCTTGAGATTGTAGGTGTATGTGGCTAGAATTTTCTTTTTAATACGGTACTGGACAAGTGGTACGATACTTACGAATACAGGGCCGGTCTGGGAACATTCGAGCGAATCCGGGCCTGCACACGCATCTCATTATGCCTTCAACTTTCTGGCAAAGTTCATTTCGGGAAGCTTTACATTCAGGTTCGCATTTGTCGCTTGGTGGTACCCGTGGTACCTCCAAACTTGGAGGACTAGCTATGAAAATTCCTCCTAGTAAAACATTGTTAGCTTCGTTGCTGTTAATCATTTCGTCTCTGTCTTGAGTTTCGTAGCTGTTGTTTGGTACTTTTATTACGCTTCCTTTGTTTTTGTCAGTCATGACAACAAAAATGGATTCATTTTCATTGCTAGAGTCTTCTTGGAGGAGAGGAGGATCGGTTTCATTGATTATAAAATCGTCCAAGTCCTCACTACTGTCATTTTCGACTGTTATTGTCGGTATAACCATCGTACTAGTGCTAGTACTAGGACTTGGTCGTAATTTGATTGATGGATAAGTACTACCGTAGACATCAGACGGATATAAGGAGCTACCAGTACTAACAGTTGTAGTAACAGTTTCTATAATACTCGTCGGTTTAACTAAAGTATGGAATTCGGTTACAGTGTCTACAAGAGTACTTTTTTCGGTCTTAGTAACCAAAATAGTAGACGTCGATGGAGGACCTCCTAACGTTTTAACTATCGTAGTTTTAGTTATAGTAACTGTTGAGGTTTTTGTATGTGTTATATAACGTGTGGGAATTACCGTTTTACTAGATTTGGTTGCTAGTACCGGTTTCTTACTACTGGTAGTACTACTTGTAGTATCGTCAATGACGCGAACTTCGTTACCGGCGTGATGGACTCCGGTCGGAATAATATCTTCTCTAGTAGTACTTTGAATTTGTGTTGTGGTACTAGAACTAGTACTAGTAGTACTGATTTTCGTCGGTGTGGACTTTAATTCGGACGTTTTCGTACTCTCAGTCTCACTAAAATCGTTCTGGGACGACGTGAGTGACGGATTTCCAATTATCACTTCCAGTGTTGGCGTACTAGACGTTGTGAAAGTTGGGGACGCTACTATGGTACTAAAAGTACTAGATTCGTCTAATACTGGTCTAGTGGTAGTTTTATTGCGTCCATAAGTTTCATGGAATGGTTTCAAAGGTCTTCTTGTGGTAACTTTAACTGTAGGTCGTCGCGTAAACGGCTTTCTTGTACCTTCAGTACGTCTAGTACTTACAGTTGTGGTTCTGGTAGTACTGTCAGTTACCATAATTGGTTTGTGGGTTGACACAAGTGGTGGTGGACTCATCCCGACAACTTCCTCTGACACACTTACTGGGGGTGGTGGTATTATGTCTTCTGCAGGTTTAGGTACATAAGGTACTACAGTACTAGCATGTACTTCCAAATCTGGACTATGTTCCAAACTTGGGACTCGATGAATATTCCCACTGGGTGAATTAACTTCAATTTTGGGTGGTTGCATATTCATATCGGGTACTGGTGGGGGCGGTTTCATTATTTCCATTTCACTCTCATCAATTATTGGTACTTCTCCAGTGTTGAGTTCTGGTGCAATAATTTTCTTTGTTGTAGTGGAAACGGTTGTGACCTTTTCTCGTTTGAGCAAATCAGTGATTGATAATGGTTTCGGAGTTTTGAACGGTTTTTCAGTTTGAGTTCTGATTGGTTTGATAATTTCGGAGGTTAAAGTTGGACGATCGATGGGCAGTGAAGTGACTTTAGGTCGATCGGGGATGAATGGTTTGGGAGTGGTTGTTTGGGCGAAAACAGGAATTGGTTGTCTGGTTTTCAAACCAAAACCGCTGTAATGACTCGTATTGTGATATTGGGGTCGTTTGGTGAAAATTTCCGGTTTGCGGGTGGTTTTTGGCCGGGAAGTGGTACTTGTAGGTCTTCTTCTTGGTGTGGTTTGACGGCGATGGTTTTCGGTGGTTGGTTTGATATCCAGATGGATCGGTCGCGGTGTGATACTTCCGATGTATGTTATGAAACCGGAATGAGGTCTGGTTGGGATATAGTCGTAATTGTCTTGCTCGTAATGGTTGATTTGGTTGGTTTGTTGGTTTTCGGGCCGCACAAATGGGATTTCACCAAATGGTCGCGGGAAATTTATCACCGGTTTGGGTTCGTTGTAACTGAATGGTGGTGGTTTACCAACCGTTTCATTTCTGACCGGTTTTGGTGTCGTGGTTGTTTTAACTTTAAGGATTTCGAATGGTATTTGACCTGGCCTGAGTGGCCTACTATTCGACTCTTGTATCACCTCACCTTCCTCATTTGTCAAGTCTTCATCATTGTCGTAATCATTTTCAGGTGTTAATGGTATAGGAAGTGGTTTTTGAGGTCGAGTGCGGAATGGTTTGCTCTGATGGTGGTTTGCACCAACTGGTGGTGGAGTCATAAATTCAGAAATTTCTAAACTAGGCTTAGAAGGTCGTCCGAAATGACCTTTTGGTGGTGTTTGTGGTTTGGTAAATGGTTTACCAACCATTGGTGGTTTGAATTTCGTATGACCTTCAGGAGGTTTTACTGATACTTCACTCGGAGGTTTCAAATCGATTGTTTCGTCATTTGGTTGTGGTTTTTTGACTTCAGAATGAAACGAAAATGGTTGTAAGGGTTTTGAAACTTCATTTTCAACAACTCTGGGTGGTTTTTGCTGAATTGCCACATTTTCTGCAAACTTATTATCATTGTTTACCAAAACGTCAAATGATACTGGTTGTGGCTGTCTACCATCGTTCATAAATCGATTATTTTTCTGACCATCAAAGAACGCTGGTTCTGGTTGTCCTACACTTCCAATACCTGCCACTTCAAGTCCTTCAAATCGGTTGTGGTCACTTTTAACCACTTCGTAGGTAATTGGTGGTGGTCTAAATTGCGTATCCCCATGGTTGATAATATGGGCATTAAATTCGTTGTCTTGGTGGATCATTCCGAAGGAAATTGGTGGTACATTAATATTAATTTCCTGGTTTTGGGGGTAGGTAACCAGATTTGGTCTAGATGGGCTTATATTAATCTGGATTTGGTCTTTATCAATGGGTTGTGGAGCGACTTTGATAACACCAACCACTTCTTTTTGGTTGCTAGTACTACCATGGTACACCGATGCGATTTGAGGGACACCATTGTTAAACTCAATTCCCGAGAATTCGGGTTGGGGGTATGGGGATGGGTCATCGAAGTACTGACCGTTTCGATGGGGTTCTGTTGACCCACCATAGATCAAAGCAGTGGTTCTGTTATGAGGGATATTGACAAAAGCCACTTGACTTGGTTGGATGTTGACCAGAAGGGGTTGTCCTGTTGATCTTTCGACGATTTCAGGGAGAACAATCGATGGTTCAAGGTTGTAATTTTTGATCGGATTATTATGACCTTCGGCATAAATCGGAAAGGTTTCTTTAGCTGCTTGCTTTTCTATTTCCTCTTGAATATTTGGAATTTTGATTTCATGAGTCACCTCGTTGACTCCATAAGTGACTCCATAGTTATTTTGACTGTGGGCGTAGACCTGATCCGGCGGTCGACTCAAAGGTATATGTTTGTGTTTCTCCCTAATGGGAGGTGGAGGTCCAACATAATCATCCTTACTTGGGGCATGTATTACCGGTTTGTTCTCAGGGACCGGTATTGGTTTATACTCGTTTCTTTTGGGCCACTTATTCTGGGTCACTGGAGGTGGTTTCATCCCATAACCATCATCCTTGACTTGGTTTAGGGGGATTGTGGGTACTCGAGGCCCAATCCGTCCCGGTTTACCAACTATCACATCCGAATTTGCCGTAATTACGTCACCTGGTGATATGGGAATCCCTCCATTGAGCAAAGGACTTTCATGGGTCGGTTTAAAGTCTTTATGACCATTCCATTCCGTATCTTGCAAATGAAAAGTGGCGATATTCTGGCTTTCAGCAACTTCAAACTCGTCACTTAAGCCACCCACTGGAATATAAATCGGTGACCGGTTTTGCAAATTTTCCTCAGTTTCAGGTTTAGGTTTAGATTTTGGTGTTGTGTTTACGACAATAGAATCGTTACGTCGATTTGACTTTAAGTTAGTTTGGATCAAGCCGGCCATGGCATTTAGTACCGGAGTCAAGGCTTGCAAACTATTGATATTGATTGAACCCAAACCTAGCAAATCTGAAACCTGATTAGGCGTTTTGACCACCTTAGTGGCAGGTTTAGGGTCTACGGCTTTAGTCGGGTGGGTCGTAGTAGGTGTCTTAGCCTTGGTTTTAGTAGTACGTCGCAATTTGCTAGTGGAAGTTACTGTTTTTGTCTTTTTCAAAACTTTGGAACTTGTCAAAGACGGTGTTTCGGTTTTTACCGGTGGTTCATCATCAAGAAAAATTATAGTAGAGCCGACTATCACACTAGGGGTTGATGATTCGATTTCGACTTTTGTGGTACTATCTTTTTCCGGCATTTTGGTTTTTTGAATTGGTAGTACTTTAGTCGGGGATATTTGATCGGCGATTACCGTAATTTCGAGTTTTTGTCCATCACTCAACGTTGCTGATTTCGTAAAAGTGTCACTACCATCACGAATTTGACTCTTAATTGCTGATAAATACTTTTTGTCAAAACGGTTCGGGTCGATAGTTTCCGTCACTACATTTTCGACAACTTTTGAGTGCGAACTAATCACTGTAGGGCTCGCTGTATTTCCTTCTTGAAGCAAAGTCGTAAAATAGGTAAAAGTCGTGTGGTAGGTTTTCGTAGCCACAATATGAAAGTTTTCACCAGAGTAATCAATTTTGTGCTTCTTTTTATCATCTTTGGTGCTACTAGTGGTACGTTTTGGGTGCAAAAACAATTTTTCGGTTACCACATCACTGGAAGTTGATACATTTGTCTTGATAATTTTTTTACCGTTTTCCGTTTGCGTGTTGTAATAAGTGTAAGTGACAAAGTAGGTTTTGACAACATCAGTGGTCGTATAATTGACAGAAACAGGATTTGGGTCTTCGACATCAAGAGCTATGTATGATGTCATGACTGAGGTGGCTTTGGGTGGTACCGATTCAGTTATTACAACTTGGGTAACCACTTCATTGGTACTCACAATTTGCGATTTCTCACCCTCGTATAGTGTTTTGGTCAGAGCTACGGTACTGTAGTACGTATTGGTGTCTTTAAGAGCCGAGACTTTCTCCGATGGTTGCAACAACGATAAGTAGTCATCAGGAGCTGTAACTGTGTTTGTTACTGTATGTTTAGAAGTTACCACTAGTGGTTGTTCGCCGTCTATTATTGTGTTTAGATAAGTATAAGTTGTGTGAAAGACTCCGACTGAGAGATTAGGGTACTGGAAAAATACAGTTAGGCACCAAGTTGGTACTCGCCGATTTTTACCTGTGTTAAAGTGATCCCTACAGCCGGTGTCGGTAAAATTTTCCCCGTGTTTCTTTCCTCTGTTGCGATATTTGAAACGACTTGTTTATGACTAGAAACCGTAGTGGTACCACTTTCGAGGTACGTGGTCAAGTAGGTAAAAGTCGTGAGACAAGTTTTGGTCACGAATTGGTTCGGATATAAGCTATTGATCTGAAATTTTTAATTGATTTATGGTACTTTTTTGGTGCCACTTACATTAGAGGCATCTTGTGGCAACATCATCATCATATGGTCGCTCAAAGTGCTCGGTTTCAAGGTTATCGGTTTGTAGATCGTGCTGGGTAAGACCCTCTTAACATCTGGTTCCCCCGGTAGAGTACTTTTATCGCCTGCTACAATTACTTCGACGCCATTAGACATGACTCGAGTTGCAAGGTTATAACGGGCCTCTTCAAAAGCCCTTCCTTGAACCTCTGAATAATTATTAGGGTTAGTGTCAAAGCTACGTCAAGGCTCTCACTTTTCTTTACAATTTTTACATGTATTTACACGGAAAGAGGGATATATCGTACAAAAGTTAGACTCACCTCCGGTTTTTAGTTGAGGGGATGCCGGAAATGGAGTCATTGGTATTGGGTTGAGAGTAGAAGTAGCGTCGAAGTCCAGTAAAGTTAAAGTTGTGAATTTCGTCAGAGGTTCCGTCAAAGTACTAGTCTTGGTCTGGGGTCGTACTTCTGTAGTAGAAGTTACAATATGTTCGTCACCATTTACTCGAGTCACGATAAATGTGTAAGTACGTAGTCGGCTCTGTACGATAGTCTTTGTCAAAAGCTCAACAGAAGATAGAACTGTAGTTTTGAGGAGGAGGACAGGAGCGTCAAGACTTTCGGACAATTCGGGGAAAAAGGGTTCATAGTCAGGAACATGTTGAGGAGATTTCTCTTCACTTTCTTCAATCTTGTTTTCCTCACTTGTTTCCTCAACTTCTTCTTCACTTTCGGTCGAAATACTATTTGGCAATTCTTCACTCGTTGTAGCTTCAAGTCCTTTTTCTTGACTCGGACTAACCACCAAATCATCAGTTTTGGTCAAAAGCCTCTTTCTAGTAACTATAACTCTTCGACGCTGTTTCGTAGCTTCTGGAATTCGTTCATCTGAAACCGGCCGTAATCTTCGTTTCTTCTTTTTGACAAGAAGTCGTCTTCTTGGTCTTCTTGTTGTCACTTCTTGATGTGGTAACACTCGAATCAATTTTTTAACAACTCGTCTTTTTGGTTTAGGAACTTCATCAACATCTCTTCTAAATCTAGTTTCATGGCCAATTTGTTTCGAAACGTAATGATAATTTTGGTTTTTCTTGTTGCCCCTAATTAGTGACGTTTCGACCTTTGGCATGAGAGGGGCTTTCTCATCAAGGTCTGTTACGCTAAAAAATTACCGGAAGATTTTTTAGCTTCTCCCGATGCTTTAACGTATTTTATTTTGTATTTCTTGGTTGATTTAGTTGGTTGAGTGTCGAAAATACCGGTAGGTTGAGTCTTGACGTGTCTGCTGACATCACCAATGATACTTTCAAGACTTTCAGTGGCTACGGTTTCAGTAGCTTCAAGATTAAACTCTTTGGTGGCTGGTGTTACATAAGTGTCGTAGTAATCCAAAGTACTTATAATCAAATCGTCGAGACCTTTGGACGGCTTCACTGGTTTACTAACATCTCGTTTACGCCTTTCATTCTCACCAACTGTTACAGTTGACAACACTGTGCTAAATTCACCCGGAATTCTACCGGAAACGTACAAAGTAATCACACTTGTTTCTTTTGGAGGTTCAGTAGGAGCAGGAGTCGGTTTTTTACTTTTCTTCCTTGAATTCTTTCTCTTTGTGGCTTGAGTAACTTCCTCAGTAATCGCTTGTTCGACTTCTTGTGACTTTTCCTCCGATTCTAAATTGTCCTTCTCTTTATACAAAGCTTGGGCTTGTGGTGTGTTCAAGTTCAAAACTCCTGCCGGTTGTTGCGCTTGTTGTAACGGCGAAGTCTGAGCCAACTGTTGTTGTAGTAACGGTAACAATAAAGTATTCAATTGTGGGGCAGCAGCCGGGAAACCTAAAGTCGGCGTTACTACTATAGTATCAGTCAATAATTCAGTTGCGGTAACTACAGTAACACTACTATCAACAATAGTAGTCAAAATTTCTTTACCCCGGAAAGTTAAAGGTAAAACTGTGGACGTTACACTTGTTACTGTTGTAACATAGGTTGTAGCTCGAGTTTTGAATTCGGTGGTCGGTGTTGCTGGTATTGCTGGGTTTTGTATGGGGTATAGGGGATTTTGGCCTAGTAATAGTTGCGATAGAAGGATGTTGGCAAGTGGGGCTTGGGCTGCAAGTGCTGGTTGAATTGTGTTGACGACTTGTTCGACTCCGTAAGCCGTACTAGGGATCACATGAGAGAAGGAAGTCTTTCGGCCTCTGATATAAGTCGGGGTGAAAATAACACTAGTAGTAGGGGTTTCATTTAAGACGAATTGTGTGATAAGAGTGGCTCCATTATCACCAATTGACGTTGCTTCACTCAGTAGTACTGTAACATCCTTCCCGAAGGCATTCACCGAAGTTGAATATTGCTTAGGTACGAGGACTTCGGTACTATGTTTGGCTGTAATCACATTTTTGTATTCAGTGATTTTACCATTGACTACCGGAATGGTAACTTCGGTTGGTATTTGATGGGTTACCGTGATGGTACCATCAAATTGTGGTAGGACTACATTTTCATCAAAGTGTTCTTGGGACGTCCTTTGTCGACTTGTAGTACGCCTCCTTGAATTATTTCTTGTTGACTTTCTGGACGATTCTGTAGGTTGTGTTGTTCTCAGTCGGGGTGATTTTGGACGCGAAGACACTGTAGTTCTTCGAGTACCCGAAGGGCGTCTAAAATTTGACCTTGACGTGTCCTTTTCTCTTAAAGTAAACTGAGATCTTGTCTGACTTGAAGCTTTAGTTGGCGAGATTCTCTTTCGGGTTGTTTGCGGAGCTTGAGTCGTACCTTGAGTGGGCTTATTTCGGTTTCTAGGGGTAAACCTAGGTTTGGTTCTAGGTTTAGGGGGTTCAGTTTCCGGTTCCTCGACCGGTGCTGCTGTAGTTCTAGGACTTGGTCTCCTAAATCTTGAATAATTGACTTCTCTTCTTGTTCTTCGTCTAAAACCTAGGAAAGGTTTGATGTTGACACTAGATCGTCCACGACGTGTTTCAGGTGTTGGGGCAGGTTCGGTTTGTGTATTAGTTTGTGAGCTTTCATAGTCGGTATCTTCATCTTCGTTTTCACCTTCCTCGTCCAATTCTTCTTCTTCTTCGTCTTCACTGGGAGGTGGCGGTGTTGTGGTGGTGGTAAAGAGGTTTCGTCGAGGGAAAAGTGCGTTATTTCGGGGTCTATTAGCCAAACCACTTGGACGGTTGAAGGTTCTAGGTTTGGCAGTGGTGGTTGTCGGACCTTTGGTTGTCTTTGCTTTAGGTTTAGGTCGTGGGGTTGAAGGTCTAGCTAATGGCGGCCTTCTGAATTTGAGTAAGGGATTTTGACTTCGTCTTGAGCTACCTTCAGTGGTAGTTGACAACGGCAAAGTCGTCTCATTGGCGTCTTCAACAGCACCGGTACTATCAGTAACAACAGTTGTCAAATCATTTTCATCGTCGACACTAGAAGGAGTAGCAGTTGCTGATGCTTTACTCAATGACGACGCCAACGTTGGCCTTATTCTAAACCTTGAATTACCACCATACAGCGAACTAGCTCTTTGAGAACTACCCCCAAGTGACGACCTAAACCCTCCTCTTCTAGAACTAGCTCCAAATCCGGTCGCTGTTGGTTGAATTCGGCTTGAACTTCGTCTAAATGAAGAACTTGAAAGTCCGGAACTTGACGATTTTGGGCGTGAAAAGCGCCTAGAACCTGAAGCTGTAGGTACTATAGCGTTAGCACTGGATGATCCTCGACGATTGCCAAATCTGGCGGGTTTGGAAGCCGGTACTGCTGTTACAGTAGGAGTGACATCACTTCTGGTTACTGTGGTTGCTCCTTGTCCTGCACCTTTGCGTTTAGGGGCAAAAGTTGGCCTTGGTCTTGAAGCAAAAGGTCGTATAACTGGTGTAAAGGTTCGTTTACGAGTCTGGAAAGTCAAGCGTGATTTGGTACGACTGGTACCATCGTCGTCACTGTCTTCGTCGTTTTCCTCAGTTGAAGTTTCCTCGTCGATTTTAGTTGAGTCGGTTAATGAACCCTCAATTACGACCGGTGAGGGTGAAATTGGTACTTTAGTAGAGGCTATAGCTTGATCTGGTGCTTGAGTCGGAGTTGGTACTATTTCGCTGACAGAACTCGGAGAAATACTTGGTTTACCAACTAGGAAACTTGAGGTACTTTCAATAATTTGTGCATATCGGCCGTCAATTACAGTACCAAGTACTTTGCTCTGGTATAGGGTTGTAGTCTCGTTCTGAATTATTGAACCTTCGATAAGTCGTACTAAACCTGTTCTGTGGCTTATCGGAACATCAGTTGCTAGAGCCGATTTGCGCTCTTCATTGACTTGCAACGAGCTTGTGCTTTCAATCACTTGGGCGTAAAGATTATCAATATAAGTACCCACAGCTTGAGTCGTATAATATAAAGTACTGATCCCTTCAGCATCGACAATTGTGCCTTTATTAATACTCACAACCCCAGTCGGTTTGAGGTTTGCCTCGACTGAACTTGGAGCTATCGTCGGTGTGATTACGGAAGAGGTACTTTCAAGTACCTTAGCGTATAAGCCGTCAATGTAAGTACCAAAAACGTCAGTTGACAGTATCGTAGTGGTACCAGAATTTTCAACAGTGTTAACAATTGTGGACAAGAGCCCAGTCGGCTTAACAGTACTATTGACAGTTTTGGATTTTCCATCGTCAAGGAGGTTTTGGCTGGCAGTACCGACAGCACGTCCTATTTGATTTGAGTCGACATCAGCCGTACTGTTAACAACACGTGACACGGTTTCAAGACGACTATTCAGAACAGTACTATCGCCAACATACGATGTTGTATAGTACGTATAAGTTGTAAAATATGTGGTAAGATCATCGTCACCAACTGTTGAAGGTTGAATAGTTTCAGTCTGACTCGGTTCTACTTCTCCTGTTGAAGTAATACTAATCGTAGGTAAAACACTCGACAGTGTTGGAGTCGGAGTTACAACATTGGAAACTGTTTCTTCTCGACTTGTCGTCTTGGTGGTACCATCTTTATACAAAGTGGTCCAATAAGTGAAAGTCGTGAAGTACGTAATAGGGAGACTCAAATCCTCGACACTAAGAGTGTGAGTTGGTGTTAAAGTTTCAGTAACTACATTAGTGACAGTCTCTAATCGACTCACAACGTCACTAGCGGTAGTACCGTGATACATTGTAGTGAAATAAGTAAAAGTGGTGTAACTTGTTTGAAGGAGTAAAGTGGGAGAGGGGATTATTTCCGAATCATTATTTGACTCTGACACAATTTGGTCATCGAGGGCGTTACGTTTGTCAACGTTGTCGATAATTCTGCGGTCACCTTCTGAGGTACTGCTTCTAACATCGGTCACCATTGTCGAAATTGTCTCATAGTCGTTCAAATTTAGAAGATTATTTTCAATGGGGGCATCTTCCGTGGTGGTACCTCTCTGCAAAGTCACATATTTTTGGTCCTTGTTGACACTAGTCGCCAAAATGTTGTTATCAAGCTTGTCTTTAGCCGAAACGTAAATGTCGTCATTTTTGTCATCGGGTAGTACCGTTTTTTGTCGGTTGATTGTACTATTGTAGATGTTGTGCGGCGTTACATTGAGACTTATCACTTTCTTCTTTACTTCACTCTCTTCATTATCGATATCAGGAGCTTCAACTTGATTTTTATCTTCGAAAAGTGACGGTACTTTGGTCGGTACCACATCTTCCAAAGCTACAGTAGCGGAAATACTTGGGGTGACATAATTCGTGTAAACTTCAGTCCTGCTCGAAATTTCCGTTTCACCATCAACGAAAATAGTGGTGAAATAGGTATAAGTGGTGTAGTATGTCTTGACACCGTTTTGTTGAATCTTGGCATCATTTAAAATCGGACTTGCATCCAATGTTGGAAGCAAGTCTTGTGCAATCTTGGTTGGTGCTATTTCAGCCAAGTCGTCGAAAGACACAGTTCTGGACTTATAGCCGGAAACAAGGCTATCTTCACGTTCGAAAAGCCCCGCAACGGCCGAATCCGACGCTTCACTTCCGGGTACCAAAGTCGAAGTTATCACATTTGTGGTTACCACAATTTTACTCGCGATTGACGAAGTCGTGTCTTGGAAGTACGTCGTCAAGTATGTATAAGTTGTGTATAAAGTTTTGAAAATTAATTCAATTTCTTCACCACTTTCTGTGGTCATTTCTGTTGTTTCGGGCTCGGATTCAGTCACGTGTCTCCTTTCTGTTGTTATTTCCTGCGGGGTTGTTTCCAGTGCTGGTGTTGTACCCGCATCCGTGGTTGTTTCAGCCTCAGTTGTTGGTACTTCCGGTGTTGTGGTTTTTTCTTGTTCGGTTGTTGTCACTACTGTGGGTTCGACTGATGCACTATTAGCCGGAGTAGCTTCAATTGAGGTACAAGCCTCAGTCTGGAACCCAATCTCAGTCGAAATCACTTCATTTGATTTGATTGAAGTTGAGGTACCATCATCGTCCTGAGGGATAAAGAATGTGGTCAAGTAGGTCAAAGTCTTGTAAACTGTAGTGGGTACTATTCTATTTCCTTCTGTACAAATAACATCAGTTTCGTCTTGCTTTTCCGGTATTTTCTCAGTGTCGATTTCATTCGATACAACTTCCGGTGTTGTTTCCTGGACCGGAAATGTACTAATCACGTGTTCAGTTGTTTCGGGTGGATTTGTTGTTGTTGTGGTTTCTTTCTGAGTCGTCGTTTCCGGTATTTGCTCAGTTGTGACTTTCTCTTGCTCTGTCGTTGTTTCGACAATTTTGGTTGTAGTTTCTTCAACTACAGCAGTATTTTCGATGGGTAAATCATCTTCGAAGAATATAGTAGTGGCACCACTGGATATTTCTGTCGCTGGTGCTTTCTTTACAGTACTACTTTCTTCTAGGAATATCGTCGAGGGTGTATTTAGAGGTTGAGTTGCTAACTTAGCTTGGGCTTGAAGTGCCGCAAAAATCTTCTTAATATCTTCATCGGAAGGGGTTGACAACATTGGAGTTTGACTCTCAGAGGGTTCAATCACATCAGGACTAAAAATAATAGTTGACTTGCCACTACTAGTACTCAAAACTCTAGCACTATCGTCGAAGTTTTGTTCATGGGCTAGCACTGCAGACTTGGCTTCCATATCTTCATGGGTGTCACTAGACTCACCTTTGGGTCGTCTTTGACGATCAGTTTTGTCAATTACCATAGTTGGTAAACTACTTTTCATATCGAGTTTGTGACCTTCCACGGTCTGAGTTTCCATTTCCGGTTCCTGTGACAAAAATGTTTTAACGGTGGTACCAATTGCTGGCGATTTGAGAGTCAGTGAGGGTCGTATAGTTGGCTCCACTGAAATTTTAGTGACTTCAGCTACATTTTTCGGAGTTGCGGTTGTATGAGGAGTGAAGACGATTACAGTATCGCCAACTGTAGTAGTAAAGTCAGCAAAACCGCTATATGTGATGGTTTGATAATCTTTGGATTCGGGTTTGACTAATCCGGCCTTAAATAGAAATTTGGCTTTACGATCAGCGGCTGTTGTGGCCTTAGTCCGCTCTGTGTTGGAGTCAAATTCGGGGAAATCTCCCAAATAGGAGAGACCACTGGGGGAGAATTCGTTTCGGACTGTGAAAGTGGGGAGGTTGTCCCAAGGTCGTACTTTGGCTGGCGTGAAACTAGCCTTTAGTTTTGGTTCTTCTTTGTGATTAATTAGATTCTCATTGGTCAAGTCTCTCATCTGAGGATTGATTTTGAAAATCTTGACATTGCTTTGGGCCGGAATTGCTTCTTTCTCAAATGGTACTCTTGGATTGTTGGAAGGTTCTTCTTCTAGGATCTCCTCATCGGAAATTTGTTGCTTGATTTCTTGGTAAGGAGTGGAAGTTGGGAAAACAAGAACAGGTTGGGCTTGACTCGGTGCGATGAAGTCGGTATTTCGGATAAAATTTTTGTTTTGGATGTTTGGTTCAAAAGTCCATTGTTTGTTAATTTCGGGGGTTTTTGAGGAAGAGTCACCGTCGTACAGTACTCGTGAACTCTTAGTGAGTAAGTGGGCGTATAGTCGTCCATTGTCAAGGGTAGTACCGAGTACTTGAGTCGCGTACTCAGTAGTTACACCTTCTTGTATAAAAGTACGAGCTGTGGAAGTAATTAGACCTAAATCCGGTTTAACGCTCAGGTAGCGGCCGAAAGAAGATCGTCCATGATTGTCCACCAGCAAGACTGTGGTGACATCTACAGCCGAGGAAGGAAGAAAGTCAGTTTGATATATTACAAAACAACTACTAGACTAAAGTCATGAGTACGAGGCTGCCAAAGAAGTATTTACATCGAAATCGAGTTAGTACTAAAATAATTTTGATTCCCGGTCGATTAGTTTGTACTAACAATACCATTAGTGAGTAATAAGGAATTTTTGCTTCTCCTTGACATTTCTTTCTCTGAGCACCAAGCAGTAAAATAGTCCCTGATTCAAGCTTTTATATAACAAGATATCAAAGAAAAATAAAATATTTGTTGAATCTTGTCATAAAGCTCGGTTTATAATTAATTTAATGTGTCATGGAGAAACTATCTCTGTCACAGTTTATTGCACAACAAAACTGAATGCAAATCAAGTTTGTACAATTTTTGTTAGTACCAGCAACCACTTTTCCACATCAGGATTTATAAATAGACGTACCATTGGAGTCTTGTCTTCTCTTTCTCGGTGTTGAATTTATATTGTCTAAACCTGAAAAGAAAAAAAAACTCTTTAACATTTATTTTACATTAAAAATCGGATTTGAAAAGTCGATACGCAAATCGCTTTGAAAAACCAGTTTTGTCGATGTCCCAAAAAGGATTTTGCCGTATTATTAGGAGACTGTTGAGGTCATAATAAAGTAATTTCGCGTTTGTTTTTGTTTAATAATTCCTGAGGTGGTTTTACACAATAAGATAATACGGATTGAAGGAATTTACTAAAGTTCATGGTTGAGAAGAATAATTTATTTGTAGCGTTGTTATAAAATTAAATATTCTTATACAAAAATTATTTCTTAATTCACAAAATCGACAAAAGATTGATTTTGAGTAAAAACAAATAATAAAGATACTCAAGATTTGACTTGCTTTTTTCTATTTGGAAGGTTTTTTTTTATGTTCAACTTCTTTTTCTTTTGTTTTTTTCCTTACTCTTATATTTCTTTACATACATTATTGAGGTCTTGTGTTTTAAATGTTCTTTTTTATAAGTTGCATATTTAACTTTTGTGATTAACTTATTATTTTTACAATATTTATTTTTTTTTTATTATTTAGAATTTAGAAATAGAAAACTTGTATGAACAGGACCCGGATTTGAGTTTTCGTCGGGTTAGAAAGAGGTTTATTTCAAAATTTCAATAGTTTCTTTAAAAATTTCGATTTTTGTAACGTTTTCGACTTTTTTTAACAAGAGATTCCATATCTTAAGCACAGTTTTAATTTGAAGAAAATTAAAACATTTTTTTATTAAAATTATGCAAGTTGAGATAAGATAATTATTGCTTATGATTCTGAAAATAAATTCTGACAAAATTAAAAACAAGGATCAAAGATAATCAAGATCTAGGTCACTTTTTTCTATTTGAAGGGTTTTTCTCTATTTTAAACTTCTTGTTTCTATGTTTTTTTCTTCTTCGCATTTTTCTTAAATACATTATTGAGGTCTTGCGTTTAATTGTTCTTCTTTATAACTTGCATATTTAAATGCCTTTTTTTATTTTATTTGCTTAATTTTTAGAATGTTTTATTTTTTATTGTTTAATCAACTAAAAATAGAAAAATTCTATTATCATTAGATTAGAAGAAGGCTTATTTCGAAATTATTTTTTTTATTTCAAAATGTCAATAGTTTTTAAAATTTTTATTTTTGTAACATTTTGGATTTCTTTTAACAAGAGATTCTATATCTAAATCTATATATCTAAATATCTAATATCTAAATTCTAAATAAAAACAAAAGGAATTTATTGTGACAAAATAATCAAAATCCATGTACTTATTTTCTCTATTTGAAGGGTTTTTCTTTATTTTAAACTTCTTGTTCTTGTGTTTTATTTTCTCTTTTTTCTTATACTTCTTTAAATACATTATTGAGGTCTTGCGTTTTAATTGTTCTTTTTTATAACTTGCACATTTACTCTTTGTGATTTTACTTACTTATTTTTTATTTCATCAAATAAAAATAGAAAAATTGGATGGACAAGACCCGGATGCGAATCCTCATCAGGTTAGAAGGAAGCTTATTTCGAAATTCTTAATTTTTATTTCAAAATGTTAATAGCTTTTTTAAAAATTTCGATTTTTGTAACATTTTGTTTTTTTTTACAAAGCACGGTTTTAAACTGAAGCAAATCAAAACATTTTTTTACGCAGTTTGAGATAACAAAACGACTGATTAGTGAAGAAGATAAAATTTAAATTTTGAAAGGATAAAACAATGTTAAAATATTGCGAAAGAAGTAAGGTTTTAAATAAAAAAACAGGAGGCTTTTTGGTTTTTATTAAAATAGAGAGAACTACTACACTATGTACAGCTACCGACTGAAATAACGTTGTTGTTGGAGTAATAAAGAACCAACAGTGCCACTCTAAAAAGGAGTGTTGGGCAAAAAATGAAAAATGTCCGCGTTATATAGAAAAACCATTTCAGTGGTGTTACAAGAGTTGAGAATGAACCTGTTTGCGGATTTGTGGAAAGTATGTCGCTCCATCGACCTCGACTATGCGGAATTTAAAGCGTTGCAGGTGTCTTCAGGGAGCGCATCTCTTCACGCAACTATTCCCTAAACTTTCGTTGTGACCTAGAAAATCGCCTACTATCGGATGACAAATGGTGATTGTCGAAGAGTCCGCTCGCGGCTCGAAAGTGTACACACCCAAACGAATTCCATCGCGACTAAATCACGTCTAAAGGGCTTTGAAGATGGGGTCTTGGGATGTGGGTCAGACACGGAGGAGAGTCGGTCAGCCGAACGCTCCTCGAGGCTATCTTCAAAGTGGCCTCACGTCGTTTCGATTAGCACTTGATGGACCGTTTCGCGGTTGTTTTGGCCAACCCGCAGTGATGTAATTTTTCACTTTCTTCTCGAGTTTTCCATCATTGTGCGAAAAGGTACAATTATTCAATCAGCTTTCTAATCGATGAAGGGGAAGGAAACAATTCAGTTTTAATTCATGTCCGAGTTAATGAGAAGATTATTGTGAAGTTCCCACAACTTTCCACAATTTATATTCACATCGAGAGATTTTGATCCGAAATGGTTACACATCTCATCTGAAACACATTAGTTCACGAACCTTTGTTCCTTTCATTATATAAACACCTGCTCAACTTGCTTATTTTTCTTGGTGAAGAAAGTTGAAAATTAAGATGACTTCGAGTGTACAAGATATTTGCCCACTCTCTCATCTCCGGTATTTACATGATTTTTAACAAAAAATACGACACTCCACGCACCAATTCACACTGATTTCGAATCAGATTTTTCAAACGTGTGTGAGAAAAAGGGGAAATAGTGACAAGCGGAAATACTAAACGCAAAAAAAAAATGTTTCGCGAGTTTCAGCACCCCGCAAAAATTTAATTCAAAACCGGCAAACCATAAAGATGACCTAGCAACTAATTGAAATCCTGTGGCAAAAAAAAACGGAACGTGCGCTAGCGAGAATTGCAACCGAGAGCGGGCAAAAAGATCAAACTGTGTTACTTTTATTTCACCACGAGGCATTTATTTTGATTTGTAATAACCTACATCAAGGATAACAAACTCGAATTTTAAAGGCGTAACCGGAAACTCCGTTAAGAAAACTAAAATAATAAAAATTCTTGAATGTGGATGTGTGTTTATTCACAACAGTGTCACGATATCATTCGGATTTAGGTTCACTTGAAAATACGTGGGGACTACAAATTTTTATTTTTTATTTAAAAATCAACTAATGTGTGAGTGAATCTTGGTGAATATTTGTTAAATTAATGCAAAGGTTGACTACATTATCTTTTTTTACTTTTGGGCCGTTTAAAATAAAAGTATCTGTGATTTAATCAATTTAAATAAATTTATATTCGACTAAAGTAACTTCTTATGTTTCTAAACCCGAAAACGTTATTTTAAGATTTTATCATGGTTATTCAAGGTCTTATTATCTTTTAGGAAATCTTATTTTTTTTTAATATCTCAATTATTTGCATTTTAAGAAAAGTTATTATTTGTGAAAATACAGAAACTAATTTTCGGTTACAACTACTACTTAGTATTTTTTTTTTCAAGTTCTTCAATTTTTTATTTAATAGTTATTTATTATACAAGACGATAAAATTGAATTTTGTCTTTGAGAGCAATTTAGCGTCGAGGCGTCAGCCAAGACGCTAATATGTTCGAAAAGATAATGAAAATTTTATCGTCGTGTATAATTTTGTAGTCAGTTTGGTCGATATTTATAAATGTCAAAGTAAAATTCAACAATGAAATCTAATGTCAAAGATCGTTAGCAACTAACAACCGCAGATAAACAACAATGGATGTATTTTTTAGGATCTAGACGACAAAATTTAATTTTAACTTGAAGAAAAGAGTAGATAAAATTTAATTTTAACATAGAGGATTGAATAAAATATTTTGAAAAATCTTGCTATAATTGCCAATATAATACATTTTGGAAAATATGTATGTAATATGGCTATAATTAACAAAAAAAGGGGATTTAAGAAAAAAATAGGATTTTAAAAGTTTTCTAAATTTTGATGTTTTTCCGAAGCTTTGAAATTATTTTTCTGCTTGTAATTTCGTTATTGAAAAAAAATTGTTACAACTTTATTAAATTCATGAAAAATTAGTTAGCTATCTTTAAATTTTTATTTATTTTTTGAATATACAGGGTGATTTAAATGTGTCGGACCATCTCTTGAGTGGTGATAAAGGACATCCAACTGAGTTAAAAATTCCCATAACAAAAAATTATTTGAGCCTTTTTTCACGAGACTAGCAAATTCAATAATAAATTAAATCCGACAACATGGGAAACAAAAGAACTAAAATGCCTGCATGATAATATTTAAATTAACTGTTCTGTTTTTTCTCAAAAAAAGGCTTGAAAAAAATAAGAGTTTCTTTTTATTTTTAATTTCAAAATTTTGAGGATTAAAATTATTTTTTGTTTTTGTTTAACTTAAATATTAAAGTTGCTGTTCTCAAATACTTTTAAGACAACCAAAAGAAAATGATATTTTGAACTACGTTTTTTTATTTTTTTTTAATTAAAAAAAAGATTTTATATTAAAACGTGGGCTTTATTTAGTTTTTTTAATCTTGATATTTTTCCTCAACTTTGGAGTTTTCTTTTCAGATAAAACTTTATTTTTGATAAGCTATAACAAGTAGTAAACTCTGTGTCATTAAGGAACAATGAATTTATTATTAAAAATTAAATTCTGTTTTATTAAAACTCCTCGAATATTTTTTTAAACGAAGCTGAGTTGAGAGAAGAGATGAATTGAGAACTTTGGCCATTGTTTAGACTCTAGAGACTCTCATTTCGAGAAAAAAGTATAGTCACTTTGAAAACAAATTCTAATTTCAAGAATTCTAATATATATTTTTTTTTACTTAAAATATTTGGCCAATATTGAATTTTGTTGAAATATGTTTATGACGAAAGAACGCTAGACGCAGGAATGTGAATCTTTCGCTCCGAAGTGGCGAAATA